CATCTGGAGTATTGTGTCCAGTTCTGGGCTCCACAGTACAAGAGGGATGTGGAGCTGCTGGAGAGAGTCCAATGCAGGGCCACAAGGATGATCAGGGGCCTGGAACATCTGCCCTATGAGGAGAGGCTGAGGGAGCTGGGCCTGTTCAGCCTGGAGAAGAGAAGGCTGTGAGGAGACCTGATTAGTATATATAAATACCTTGAGGGCGGGAGGAGGATGCGACCAGCCTCTTTTCAGTGATGGCCACTAATAGTATTAGAGGAAATGGCCACAAACTGAAACACCAAAAGTTCCACAGGAACTTAAGGAAAAATTTCTTTTCAGTGAGGGTGACAGAGCACTGGAACAGGCTGCCCAGAGAGGTTGTGGAGTCTCCTTCTCTGGAGATCTTCCAAACCCGCTTGGACGCAGTCCTGTGCCACGTGCTCTAGGTGACCCTGCGTGTGCAGGGGGCTGGATTAGATGATCTCTAGAGGTCCCTTCCAACCTTAAGCATTCTATGATAAACGTTCTGCAACCTCTACTATTTTAACTGTAACAGAGCAGAAAAATCTGTTATTTGCTCATAGAAGTGCCACAGCTCACAAAACCGATGTTTTCTCTCATCTAGATTGCTTTTTTCCCTGTAAGCATAGACTATTTCATAGATATCAATCTACATCCCTTAGTTTTTCCTTTCTTCTAGGTGTTATTCAGAATGGTGCTGATTATAGTACTGTTAGTTAGAAAATAGTGTATATGTGAAGCAGCTTCTCGTAGTAAAAAAACACACATACATCAGATTTCTGTACTTTGAATGAAAGTACTTATCTAAAATTCAACATAGAAAACAAGGTAGTTATTTCTTAACTGGTTTGGGGTTTTTCCAAAACACTGTATTTTCCAGTATTTTTAATAGATATTTTTCCTAATCTATCTTTATATGGTAGAATGCCATTTTATAAAAGAAACCAAATTAATGTGTTAATCCACATTAACAGTGCTTTCATATTTATCATACCAACAGTGAGTCTTAGATCAATAATATTTTTACTGGAGGCATAATAAGTGCTTGGAAATATATTTATTAAATATGCTGTTTTCTTAACAGTGGGGCCTGTGAAGCCATTTTTCCTGTGGATTCATAGCAATTGCCGTGGCATGAAATTGTTATTTTATGAGTAACTCAAATATGTTAGTAGTTGTGAAATCCAGTTAAGTGCACATGTCCAAGTTTAAAACAATGTACTATAATTAAGGAGTTTTATTTATCAGTTCAATTTTTATTTTTACTCCTCATCTCTTTGCTTGGTTTAACAAAGCGAGTGGGGAATTTTGCTGTTTACTTCAGAAAAGGCCACGATTCCCCCCTCTTCAACTTTCTCTCTTCAAAACGCTGCTGTTACATTCTTTTATTTAGCTGTTCGGTGCTTCCCAGACTGTTTCATGTTCTGCACTCTCTCGTTTTGTCAAAATAATATTCTTGTTTCAAGCTAGTGCTTACCATGAAGATTTATTTTTTTGTCTGTGTGTGACATTTATTCTGTCAGTTCAAAGAGATCTTTGTGGGAGAAGAGACTTGTTCTGTCAGTAATTTATTAACTTTTCTCAGCTCGTATTCTTTATCTAGCAGAAAAGAACCCTTCCCACCCCTGTTCAGTACTGTCTGCTATAGTACTGCTATAGTGCTACCCCTGCCCTTTTTTCCTCCTTACAACTCATTTCTTGACACATAAGAAGGATCTTCAAAGAAAATTAACCTGTTTTGTGTGTTATTCAAGCAGTCATAACTCAGAACTGTCGTTCTTGTGTGTATAATACTTGAATTAGATGATGGCTGGCTATTGCTCTACTGTAACTGAGCTGTTTTTTCTTGGGAGCAGGTCAGTGTGCAGGACACATGTTCCTTCTGCTGCTGCCACCTGCGAGTGATGCGAGGTGAGAAGTCTGCAGAAAGAGCCATTTCCCAGCCCTTGGCACTCCTGGGCACTGCAGCACAGCGGCTGAGCAGGCGGCACGACGCCTGTGTTTAGAGGGGACTGCCAGGAGCACAGTGTGTGCACGGGAAATCAACCATAAGTAGTAGCTGACAGACCCCGAAGGGTCCTGCTTTTCAAAGTCTCATCTGCCTGAAAATACTCTAGAAAGTAGCTGGTAGAACTTGAATGTGTTTGTCCCCTCCCGGCATCCCTTAGGATAACCCTTGGAGGGAGCTCTTTGTACTCCACCCATACAATGTCATGGTAGTAATTACTGTGAAGGCTGAGTAGTTGTTTCTGCAGTTAAATAGAATGTTTTCATAATGCCGCAGACTCAGCCTAGGAAATACCAAGGAGATAGTGTGCCTGAGAAATAATTAATAAAGGTAAGACTAATAACAATGAATAAATTACTACTAAATTCTTAAAAATTAATGATGCAAAATTTAAAATGGATTAGTAAGAACAAATAAGGAACTAAGCATGCAGAGATTCAACCGTAATCCATGCAGATGGAGAGAGATCTGCTGAAGGGTTTATTTTTTGATTTCACTCACTTTGGATACTATTAAGTGGTAGTGTAGTTTTTCTTATTTGAAAGGCCATTTGAATGAATGTTTAAAGCAGAATGGTTAAATGAATAATGCTAATATCTGTTCAGCTCTGGGGTGCTTTAAGTACAGCCAGGGCTGTACTTGCAGCTTACCTGGAGAAATATCACTAAGTAACTTTCTAACCATTCTAATCATAGAAATGATAACTTCTAATGCCTTGTAATGGTAGTCCCAGCAGGAGCATCAGAGCAATTAGCTGAATAACTGGAATTCTTGCAGTTCTGTCTGATTCAGTAATCACAGTTTGTGTGAATAGGCGCAAGGTGTCTGCGCTTTCACAGTTTTCTAATGATTGATACCCGGGAGTCCCAAATTCTCTGTCAAGAGCTGTCATTGCAGTGTTTGAATATTCTTGCCTATTCACTGTACATCTATATGGAGAGGGGGAAAAAAAAAGACCCCTAATGTATTTTAAAAAGACATGTATAGCAGGACCCTTGCTGAGAACCCTTGGTGGGAGGCACTTGCGTTGCTGCTCAGCCGTAACCAAATACAATCTAACTGCTGGCCAGCACAGTCTTAGTCTCAGTGGCACATCTGGTTCTGTGATGGGACATTTCAGTGTGCTGGACAGTAGGAGGGGATAAGTGGAGTTTAGATCAGTTGCGTGCTGAAAGCAAATCCTTCCTCTTTCAATAAAATGCTTTTCTTAAGTACCTCCAAATATATATGGGCCTTAGTGTTTTAAATTACTCGATATACAAGATGAAATCATCATGCTATTAACTTTAATGAAAGTGAGGGGATTTGCTCAAATGTCATCAGAGAAATTGGATTAAGGAAAATCAAAAGAAAATGCCAAATGGGATACATTCTATTTGCAAAGATATTAATGCTGATACTTCTTTCTAAGGACAATTTTGTTCTCCAGTTAAATGAACTGTTTAACTGAAGACAGAATATTTTTTCAGTATGATGCATTGTGTTGCCATAAGAGCGATGATGTACAGACCACCAGCAGTTCCCCTTCTCCCTTTGTGAAGTGCTTTTGGGTTACTCTGCATCTGCTAAAATAAGGTTATCATTAACCTCTCACATTATGTATCCCACTATGCAGCTACCAGAAATTCAAACAGATAGCATGACAAAGGAACATGAAATACATTTCCTGACTTTCTTGTGAAGCAAAACTGCAGAATTCCTAGAATTAAATGTCAGCTCGATTTTTGAATTTTTTTTGAAGAAAAGTAATTTTCAGAGAAAAGTAGTCACTTTTTGTGAAAAATACTGGTCATTATCAAGTCCAAAATTCTGCTGAAACTTACTTTAAGAGAAATCTTTTCATTTTCCTAACTAATTATCAAATCATGCTGGATTCTGTATTAGTCTTAAGAATGGCCAGTTTTTCAGTTTATTTACGTAACAGGATAAAGGAAAATGTTCGTTCTTGATTTATCAAAAGGCAGTGATGTCTGTGGCGTTTTTCTTTTGAAAATATTTTCTTGTTTTCAAAATTTAGTATGCTAGAAAGTTTTCAAACTTTCTGATAAACTTTTTTTAGCATAGCTATGCTACTAACAAAATGGCACCTGGCTTGTATTGTAGATGGACAGACAGTGGCACAGGTACAACTATGCCCAGTTGACAGATGTGTTTGATTTTTGTGTCTGTTCTCTAGTAGGTAGCAATCAGTGGGGTATCTTTGTCTTTTGGG